ATTATGCTGTCTGTTAAATGAATAATGGGAAGATTTTTTCAAAAGACTGAAACATTAAAATCTTCAGTATCAGTAGAATTTCAGCCATACCTCTGCAGCTTAGCGTCAACACAACTTTTACATAAAAATGTCAGGAATAGACTAGAACATAGTGACTTACTTTAATGTCTGTAGTTTGCAGAGGGGAGACTGGAGAAAACCACAGAGCTGCTTCACTCCATCATCTTTTAGGTCTTCGTTCCTACTCAGGTTCAGCTCTGTCAGATGGGAGGGGTTGGTATTCAGAGCTGAGCTGAGAGAAGCACAGCTGTCCTTTGAAAAACCGCATCCAATCAATCTAAATGAAAAGAAAAAAGAGGTTGGCTCGAGCAACAGGAAACCAATTAAAACTGAAATATTGACAAATAAATTATGTAACATGTAGAACATTAATATAACTGTATGTAAAAGTCTCAGAAACACAATGAACTGATGTCTGATATTTGATCCAGTAAAATTTATTGAAACAGTAAAACCTAGCAGAACCAGGACACCTTTTATTAATGCCGTGTTTAGGTCCAGATCAAGTTGAGTTTATTAGTCTCCTCCAGGAGGGATCAGTGTTGGACAGAGTACAGGGGTCCATTTCATAAAGCAGGTTTAAAAAACTCAGACTCAGATCCTCAACTCTGAAATGATTCAAGACATATGGCTGAAGGCTAGAAGATACAACTACAAAGTTGATCATTGACCTCTGGCCTAGAGTGTTCTGGTGCCCTGTGCACCAATGGAAATCCTTATGCTTGAACAGGGTGTTCATTATGGAAAATCTGTTATTTGCATAGATGTTCAATAATGAATCACCACTCTGGTTCAGAGCTGGGGGGTCTGTGCCTTCCAGGTGTCACCATGGTTTCTAACATGTTGAAGTGGTGTTGAAGTCGCCCAGCTTAATGATGGAATCCCCAGGAGAGGCGCTATCCAACAATCCCCATGGATGCCAAGGCCTGGTACTCCTGGGGGGGGAGACGAAAAGACTCATCCACACCCTCTTTCTCCCCCCACGAGCCACTCCAGAATAGAGGAGAGTCCAGCTGCTCTCAATGAGCTGGGTTCCGAAGCCCAAGGTATGCATGGAAGAAATAGAGGGTGTGTTCCATATATAGGGGATAAACACTTTTAAGCTTCTCTGGTAAACGCTTATGTCAGGGTGATGGAGAGGAGAGTCCGGCTGATGGGTGAGCCTCTGCTTCAGAAAGTGCAGTGTGGAACAGTGGACCAAGTCTAATCCCTCATATGGTGCTTAAGGTGATCGTGGGAGTTTCCCAGTGCTAGTCCACATATTTTTTTGTGGACATGGAGATGGCAAAGGTCACTTGTAATGCACTGTGGAAGTCTGTTAATAAGTACTGAGTCAGGGGACATTTACTAGGGGCCATTGTTTGCGTTGCCGGCATTAAGTCAGACCTGTTCCTAGTAAATGTTGGACTCCGACAGGGCTGCCCTCTCACACAAGTCCTGTTGATAGCCTTTATGGACAGGATTTCTAAGCACAGCCAAGGACCAAAGGGGATCTGGTACGGGGACCAGAAGGTCTTATCCCTGCTTTTTGCAGACGACGTGGTTCTCCTGCCTCCTTCATGCCAAGCCCTACAGCATATACTGGGGTGGTTCGCATGTGAATGCGACAGGCCAGGAAGAGAAACAGCTATTCCAAGAAGAGGCTAATCTCTGGTTCTCTGCTGGAAAAAGGAGGCTTATCCCTTTCAGGTTTGAGGGGAGTTCATGCCTCAAATGGAGGAGTTCAAGTATCTCTTGATTCTGTTCACAAGTGAGGGAAAAATGGAGTCGGAGACTAATAGACAGATCAGTGCGGATTGCTGCTATAATGCGAAATAAATGTAGTTTGGAGAGGGGAGATTGGAGAAAACCACAGAGCTGCTTCACTGCACCAGTCTGTCGTTGCGAAGAGAGCTGAGTGAAAAGCAAAGCTCTTGATTTACCAGTCGGCCTATGTTCCTACCCTCACCTGTAGTCATGAAATCTGGATCATGACTGAAAGAACAAGATCCCAGATACAAGTGGCTGAAACCCTCTTTAGGAAGGTGTTCCAGGCATGGCTTACCAGGAGGAGGCCAAGGGCATGACCCAGGACTTGCTGAAGAGACAATGGCCATTTCGGCATTCACAAGAACGTGAGTATGGACTTGTGTTCTCGCCGAGTACATCCTTAACAAGAACATAGGAAAGTATGTACTCGGGGAAAATTGGAGCACGCTGAATAAATCTGGGTATATTGTAACAGAGGCGTACTCGTGACATCACTATATTGAAAGCTTATCTTGAGCTGCATCTCACCTCCTTTTATTAATAGTCTCTACATAATAAATGACTACCTTTTTCATCTAGTGAAGGAATAACAATTAACATAGTCAGATAAACAGAAATCAAATGAGCATTTTGCCAAGTAAAACAAGAAAAAAAAAAGCCAGCAGAGCCAGTGAGAGACAGGGCTGCTGCAGACGAGCTGACATTAGCCCTGTCTGCGGATAGCTTTGGAGGTCCTCTGGTTGCCATGGACATTGGAACTTTTTTTTTTATTACGCCCTAAATCAGTAAATGGGAAATATAGTAGAGCTTAAAAGTATAATGTTCTTGCCTCAAATGATCTGAAAACTTACATTTTTTTTAGAACAATTACAACAGAAGAGAGAATTTTTATCTTAATACTCTGAGCTCTTTGAGCGCTAACCTAGAAGCTGCTGCTGCCGTGATGCATGCTGGGACAGCTGTCAATCTTGAAAACAGACAAGTCTGCTCTGATGTATATTTGGTAAAGAGGGAGGAGCGAAATCAACATCCAGGGACTTTGTCCATTCTCAGTCCTGTATTCTTGTGGATGCGAACAGTATTAGGGCTGAGGCTGATGATGTTTCACAAGCACATGAAGACGCACAAGTACACATACTCAGAAGCTGCTTATGTCTCTCTGCTAGCCTGGGAACGCCCCAGACTTCCACTAGGAGGAGGTGTGTGTAGAGGGGGAAGTCTGAGAGTATTTCCTAAGAAAGCTGCCCACACGACCGCGCCCTGGATGAAGTGGGAGAAGACGAGTACGAGTACAACGTTACAACGGGAATATCCTCACCAAACTATATGTTGACTGACCTCAATGTCTGTAGTTTGGAGAGGGGAGATTGGAGAAAACCACTGAGCTGCTTCACTCCACCATCTTTCAGGTTGTTCTCACTTAGATCCAGTTCTGTCAAATGGGAGGGGTTGGACTTCAGAGCTGAGCCCAGAGAAGCACAGCTGATCTCTGACAACTTGCAGCGTTCCAATCTGAATAAAGAATAAAAGAGGAGTTGAATTAAATGGAGAGAGTTTAAAACTAAAATAATGAAAAAAAAATTATAAAAATGTTGAAAAATAATTTGACTGAAAGCTCAAGTCCGAGAAAAATTATCCACTGAAGTATTAAATCAAACAGAACCAAAACATGTTCTAACATGTTCTTTACAGGTTTAAGATCCTTGGTGACATCAACATACGCTGCTAGAAGATTTCAGTCAGAGCTGTGTTGAATGGATATAGGTTAGAAGTGTAAATGGCAGATATGATGAGTGTTTTGCTAGCTGTGATAAAGTTAGCTTAGCTGTTATTTGCCATGGCACCTGTACAGCTGGTTCAGCTGAATGAAGCAGTGTTAACTGACTGTCCAAACTAGCCTTTAAATGAAACATGAGGGGCTTACATATTGGAGGTCTCTATCTATTAGCATTTTTAACTAGTTATGCTGCTTTTCCCTGTAAAATGTACTCTAAATGTGTATATCTGAATTACAGATCAAAGTTATGTAATATACTTTAATGAAATGTATTATATTGTGTTGAACTTCATGAATCTGTTATCTTGACTTTCGATGCATTTAAAATAATTAATTGTGCTGCTAATACTATTAATTTGGAGCTAGCTGTGTGCAAATGGATCCAAATAGATTGTATTGACTATTTCAGATTTGTATTTATAATTGTATCTTGGTCCTGTTGTATTCAGTAAACATAAGTTACGAAATCCAAACTACCTGAGAGCCTCAGGTTGATTGTTTAGTAGATGTTCGAACTCAGCTGTGCCGTTCTGCTTCTTGCACTTTTAAAAGTTAGTGAGGCACCAAAGCCCTATTCCTGGCTCTGATCACTTTTTGTAATTTTTTTGACAGGGCAGTGGTAGTGTAGAACTAAGGGCAGAAGCAGAGCTATCATGATCATGGCACTGATGCCTGGTCTGATCACAAATTTCACTCACCTGCTTAGCTCCTCCCAGTTCTCATTACCGCTGATCTGTTTCACCTGCTTTGGCCTCTATTTAACCAGCTTCCAGACTAGTCATCAGTGCCATTTTTTTAAACCTTTGGTGAGAAGTATTCAAGCATTCCTGTGTTCTGTCTGCCTGATCATGACCCATTGTGCCTCTGGACCCCTGACCCTGCCTGTCCCCCTCTGACCTGCTTCGCTGACCCGTCTTCTGACTCATGCCAAATCTGTCTGCCTATTTAGTAAACCTGGAACTGTTACCCGACTCAATTCTGGATTCTCCTAGGCACCTCTTTAGATCACTGACCTCCTGGCTCTGACTACTGTGCGCATCATTGACACCAGGTTTGGCTTCGCCCTCTGGATTAACCTGCCTTCCTTTGTCTACTCGGCTTATCCACCGACCACCAATAATCAGTGTCTGGGACTCTCTGTGCGGCAACCTCTGCGTCACATTGGGCTGGGACTGAACTATAAGACCAGGTTTGTGACTCACAAATTCATTATCATCCACTTCCATATAGACAGGGTCATTAACCTGTTTCCTCCTGCAGAGGAGACATTGTTCACTTTGGTTCAGTTCCCAATAAACATTTTGTGAAATCTGCCTCCCGATCCCGAAAACTGGGTCCTATTGTTCTGAGCTTGACAGGATGATCTCTCAGAAAGCACATGACAGCACATGACAGTGCTTTGGATTTGCTGTGAAGGCAAGAGAGACATGCTGCAGGAGGGGCTCTGCAGGCTGTGAAATCAGAGACAGAGGTGATCTGTTTCTGCGATCATGACAGTGATCGGCAGTCACATACCTTTTGATGAAAATCTGACACTTATGACTAGTGCAGATCGATCACTACACTGTTAGAAACCCAACCTGTTTCTTCTGACAGTCACGACCTGCTGCTTTGGTGAAACAACCTTTTGATCCTTCACTGATTTACCTTGACAGAATTGCTGTGTGATGTTGTTAGGATAGATCTTACCTCAATATCTGTAGTTTGCAAATGGATGTCTGGAGAAAACCACAAAGCTTTGCTAGTCCAGTATCTTTCAGGTCATTCCCACTCAAGTCCAGTTCAGTCAGGTTGGAAGGGTTAGACTTCAGAGCTGAGACCAAAGATGCACAGCTGGTTTCTGACAAGTTGCAGTAATTCAATCTGAGTAAACAGTAAAAGTTGGAGCCATATCAACAAAAACAGCTTAAGACTAAAATATTTACAAATAAATACGAAAAGGTAAAAAAATCATGTGACTAACTGTCAATTAATATGAACTGACGTCTTATACAAGGGTTCTCGCAATGACATTCTTAAAGGCATGATGTTAGAAATGCATCACTCATGGCAAATAAGTAGGTAAATGTGATTAAAAACACAGTTTCTGCAGGCATTACACTCAATGTGCTATAATGCACAGGGGAGGCAGCCCAGATATTAATCATAGGGCTGATTTGCTCTTAAAAAACATAGCAGACTGGTCTGAATTTAAAGCTAAAATGAAACAGTTAACAAACCTAGCCTAATACACAAAACTGTGTCTTACTACTATCAATAGTTATATTACAAATATGAAAAATATGAAAGTAAAAAAAAACAAAGCATTGTTATGTCATTTTTTGGCAAAGGCGCTGCCATATTGCAGAACTCCAAGTATACATTAGATCATAGGTGAAGGTAGATTTCAATCTTGGTCAGTATTATATAAAGAGTTTATTGGCCCCCATCTATCTATTATTCCATTTTTTAAGGTTAACACAAGTATAACCTACAGATATATATACACACATATAT